TGGATGAAGACCACACCTATTAGTGAAACCATGAAATTGCTCTCTTGTGAGAATGATAACCCACGGACTCTAAACCCCAAGGGAAGGTGTTTTTGATTATTTGTTGTTGTTATTGTTTGTTTTTTAAAGGAAAGACCCTTTGTACTAAAACCGAGGGAAACTGAGTATATGATTTGGCAGTTGATTCCATGGTGGAATGGCAAGTGAAGCATAGGAAAGAGTTAGTGATAGAAAATGTGATTGTTTCTGAAGGAGGAGGCACAACATAAGCTCACGGCAGGTTTGCCCACATCAGTGAAAAATGAAAGCTTGATAAAAGGGTAAACCCAAACAGCAGTGAGCACAGGGCCAATTGAATTAATTCATATAGTAAGCAATTTGCTGTCATTTTTAAATGTAAAATTGGGCAGCTTTCACAGCATCTTTCTTTTTCTCATCAAGATAAGTTTTCTGCCCCATTGGCTATCAGGCTAATTTCCAGCTTCTTTGTATATTAGAAGTAAATTTAGAAGCTACAATAGGATTAAAAAGAAGACATGGTGCTTATTCACACACTTTCGTCTTAAACAATTTAATTTCCAAAACTGCTACCTAAACTAAAATGAACAAGATCATTTTAATTTTCAAATTACATGTTTCTAAAAAACACAACCGAGGAACTTCTGGCTCTGGAAAATCCTCTTACTGTGAGTTTCAGCTAACCATTTGTTAGTGTGAACAATGAAACTTTAAAACAGATTTTCTTTGACAGATTCTACTAAGTGCTACTACTATTATTTATTCAAAATAAGAAACCCTCAGCTATATTTTGTCTATCAGAATATCATGTAAACACCAATAGGATGATTATAATCTTCTAAGAATATATCAGAAGCCAGTGTAAATAAGATTATACTTTTAATGGAAATAATTGATATACTTTTTATTTGCTTTTTCCCGCTTTGTAATTGAAGTAACATTGCATTTCAGGTATGCATCATTAAAAATCAACATCTATATATACTGTATTAAATTCACCACTCAGAGTTCAGTTTGATCCTTCACCATACAATTGACCCCTCTACAAAACAGGGGAGGGAAGAACACAAGGGATAGTGGTGATAGGTCAGGGGGTGCTATGGTGGTGGGAGAACTACGTGGACTACACCTGAGGGAAGAAATCAAATATTGTACAAAAATGAACAGCAATGTAGGAAAATACATTTAAAAAAATTCAAGCCCTCTATCCAACTTACTCAACCTTCACTTTCTCATTTTATAACTTTTTAAAAATTATTTTTAAAATTATTTTATATATTAAATTATTTTATATATTTTAAATAATTATATAAATTATTTTACAGCATTTTTCATTTCTGTACAATGTATGCATTTTAATCTTGGTTATAGTCCCCATAAAATTCCCACCACCCATTCACCTATGAGCTATCACCATGGTCCCCTGTACTGCAAGTCCAAAAGTTTAGTTTCGTCCTCTTTAGTTCATCTATTTATTTGTGCTCACTCTGTTCCACATATGACTTATTTCATTAAGCATTGACTTACCCTTTTGGTTCATCTATGTCATCACAAATGGCAGGCATTCATCCTTTTTTATAGCTGAGTAGTATTCCATTGTATGTATATACCACCTCTTATTTACCCAGAGATAGTCTCCTTTCAATATTAATATCTACCCTCTGTGGCACAGCATTTTCCTAGAATTATTTTAGTTTTTTTCTAACTAGAATATCACTAGTTCTACAAAAGCTAATACAATAGAAAATAATTCACAAGGTTTTATTGTTGGGGAAAAGGATATATTACATGTTCACTATAAAATAAATGTTAAAAGTACATAAAAGTATGAGGAAATACAGATATTCGCAATCCTATCACCCAGAGATAGCTATGATTAACATTTCCTGTGCATGTTTCTGTATTTTTCTCTATGGGTGTTGTATGCTCCACATCACATGCACACTACATCCCATACACACAAAATTAAGATTATATTGTCAATTCTGCATGTGATATTTTTTCCTTCATATGTCATGAAGAAATTCCTTTGTGACTTAGTAGTCTGAGCATGCTTTTCAGTGTCTACATATTATAGATGTTCAATAAGCACACAAAAATATGTTTAACATCACTAATTATTAAGAAAATGCAGATTCAAACTACAATGTACCACCCTGCACCCACTAGGATGCTACTCTAAAAAACACCCCGTAAAATAACAAGTGTTGGTGATGATGTGGAGAAATTAAAAACACACACTGTTGGTGAGGGGTATAAAATGATACAGCTGCTATGGAAAACAACAAGGCAGTTCCTCAAGAATTAAAGATAAAATTAGCATATGATGCAGAAATTTCACTTCTGGGTCTATACCCAAAATAATCCAAAGCAGTGTTTTGAAGAGATATTTGTTCACTCATATTCATGGCAACTTTATTCACAACAAAATGAAATGTGAAAGTAATCCTTGTGCACTTTGACAACTGGATGGATAAGCAAGATATAGTATCTATAAAGACAATGAAGATTATTTTGCTTTTGAAGAAGAGGAAATTTTGCAATATGGATGAAATAAGAACATTATGCTGAGTGGAATAATGCAGTCACAAAAAGACAAAAACTGTATCATACCACTTAGACAGGCTCCTTGGAGTCTTCAAAATCATAGAGACAGAAAGTAAAATGGTGGTTGCCTAAGGCTGGAAAGAGAGGAGCTGAGTAATAGTTTAATATGTAGAATTTTGATTTTATAAGATCAAGAATAATGAAGATAGAGAGTGGTGATTCTGAATCATTACAACATTATGAATGTACTTAATATAACTGAACTATACACTCAAAATGATTAAAATGGTAACTTTTATGTTATAAGTACTTTACCACTATAAAATTTTGGTAGAAAACGTGTAAGATAGGTCTATATGTGGTGATATAGAAAATATCCCTAAATACATTAAATATTTTTAACTTGAAGAAGAATGAGTATCATTTGCTATCGTGTGGTAAAAATAGCAACATGCTTGGATATGCATGGGAGACTACTGAAAAAAAAACATAAGATTTAAGAGAGTTTACTTATAAGGAGTGAGATTAAAATTTTCAAGAGATGGGGAAATGGTGATATTAAATTTTGACTTAAAATAACATTTTGGATTTCAAAAGATTTTCTTATAAGATATAGTAGGCAGAACAATGGTACCCCAAGATAGCTATATCCTAATCTGGTACCTGAAACTTAGATGTCAAAAGGGATTTTGCACATAGGGTTAAATTAAGGGTCTTGAAATGCAGAAACTACTTTAGATGACCCAAGGGGGCCCAATGTAATGATAGGGTCCTTATCAGAGCAAGACAAGGGATCAGAGTGGGAGGACATTGACAAAGAAAGAGGAGATCAGAGGCAGAGAGAGACTGGAAGATGCTTTGAAGGTGGAGCAATGGGTCAAAGACTACACGTGGCCTCTAGACACTGGAAAAGGCAAGGAAATGGACTTGCCCAAAGAGCCTCCAGAAGAAACAGTCCTGCTAACACCTTGATTTTAACTTTTGCACTTCTGACCTCAAAACTGTAAGAATAAATATGTTATTTTAATTCAGTAGGTGTGTGGAAATTTGTTACACCTGCAACAGAAAACTAGTGTAGAAAGGAATTTTTCTGACTGCTGAATTCATTGTAAGTGGAAAGTATAGGTACAGTTTTTTAAATGGCTTGAAGAGATGCACACTTGCCCCTGAATCCCTGCTACCAAATATACATAAAATAATTTTAATAGTCACATAGAGTGGATGATCTATGTGCAGCTTGAATAATGAATAATGAATAATGTAGTCAGAAAATAGAATTTTTGGAGTTGGACAGTTGGCTTGTCATTCTGCCTTTAGCCCTTAGTCCTCTGTGACCATGGCAGGTTATATGTCCTTTATTTAGTAAGATAGTGTGAAATCCTTCTTATGTAGGACCATTGAGTTAATGTATGAAAATGTGTCTAGAAGTTTGTTGGCTTGGATTAGTGTGAGTTCACTGCTCCTGACTCTTCTGGCATTACTATAAAATCACATTTATATTCCACCTGTAAAATCTGAGTTATGTGACGTGTATTTAACATATATAATAAAGGCTATTTATTGAGTGCCTTCTATTTGTATTAGTTAATATGAAGACTTAAGAGAAACTAAACACACCTACCCTTAAGAAATTAAAAAATATTGCAGGACTATATGAAGCATATCCTAAAATGATATCAGTAAAAGGATGTGATAAATGCCACAAACATAAGGGGAGAAAGAGAAGGTAGAGAACTCACTTCAAGATTGGGTCACAAATGTTCTTCAATGAGGGCCTCCCCTGGTGGCGCAGGGGTTGAGCGCTGGGCTGCAAAGTTGCCTGCAGCCTCTGCAGAGCTGGTTGGTTACCCGGCCAGGGTCCCACATGGCGCGAGGGTCCCACATGGCGCGACAGACCTCTCCTGTGACAGACCTCTCCTGCCTCGCCCGCTGCTCCCCTCAGCAGTGTATTTCGTCAGTCTGCCTGTTCTGTTCCCTGCTCTGGCTCTGGTGAATTCTCTCACCCTCCCGCGCTTCTGACTCTACCCAGTGCTTGTATAAATAAATAAATAAATCTTTAAAAAAAAAAAAAAATTTCTTCGATAAAATTAAATCCACAGCAATTCTTCATTTTCCTGGACTAGTTAGAAGTGTCATTCTAAACATTATCCCATCCTCTCCTGACTTTTCCTACCTCAGTAACACAGTTGCTTAAATTCAAGCTTATATTCCTTGATGTCAGTGTCCTTCTCTCTCTTCTACATCATTTCGATGATCATTAGTAGGTTTGAGCTTCCAAAGCCCATCCCGCCCGTCCACTTGCCCCTGGCCCACCTTCTTCTCCCCGAGACCGCTTTCCTGATCAGCCCCCCTTCCCTTTTGCCCTTTTGTTACCAAGCAATGAGCTCGCTCCCCAGGGTACACAGAGCACATTATTCTGGGATTTTGAGGGAAGCAAAAAAGCTTTGTTGTGAGTTGGTTGGTAAGGAGACAAAGAGAGAGGAAAAGTTTATATAGGTTTTGGAGACTAATGTTGAGAACCAAGGAGTTAAATGTTATTGGCTGAAAAGCAGGTTAGGAGGAGCAAAGATAATGCAGACTGGACTGAAGTTCATGGGCTAGTCATGGGGCAGTCAGTTCATACATGAAGAATAGGAAGAGGCTTTTTCTCCCACATAACTGAGTTTTGGGTTTCTTTTGATGGTCCCACACCTCCGGGCCCCATTTTTCCCATTTGCTGTTTGCTGGGTCTAGTGGCCGTGGAGCTCAGCATGAGGTGAGCTGCTTCTGCTCTGCTCAGCCTGCGTCATCTGCTGATAAAGTTCAGGTTCCGCTGTCTGTGAAAGCATAAAGAGAAAGTTAGATAAGTTGTTTTTATGTATGTGCACGCTTTAGGGTCTGAAAGCAATTTAACCATTTGGCTCCGGTTACACCTCCAGAGTATCCAGAATGATCTTGTAGAAGAGGATTCAGGTCAAAGCAGGTGTTCCTACTCAAATCCCTCCTCAGATTCCCATTCTCCTCTGGATGATCACAGTCTCTTAGCCCAACTTACAAAACCCTCTGGCCCTCCTCACCTCTTCACCTTCCTCCCCGTGGCCCTGTGGGCAAGGCCTCCTGCTGCTGTTTCTGAGGTTCCCGGCTCAGCCATGGGTGACCTTGCCCGGGTCATCATGTGCTCACCTCTTCAGCCGAGGGGTCAAATTGTAGCCTTAGGTTTTGCTCATTGGTGGTAGTTAAGATAATATTTAACTTTCTTTCTGTGTTTATCATTCTTGTCCCCTTTTTAAAAATGCACATTGTGTTACTTTTCCAGTAAGAAAAATGCAACAACAAAGGATAGGTGTGTATATACATATAATATATATGTTTTTTAAAAGACCCTCAAAATTGTCCATTGATGTATAGACAACTCCATGCGTGGTGCAGGAGGGGGATCCTCCAAGAGCCCGTGCTGGAGGAAGGAACAAGGAAAGGAGACTAGAGACTAGACCAGCTCTAGGTGGGACTATGTCTCCCTGGTACCAAGACAGCTTCAGTGGTTAGAAGCTCTTCCAGCCCACTGGGAACAAGTGACATCTAGCAAGTGGACAGTGCGAAGTGGCCACAGACCTGTACAAGTCAGCTAGGCTGGGCTGGGTATCCCATGAGACAAGCACTGTGTCAGCAGTGATCAAGGCAGATACAGATATGGAAAACTAGATGACACTTCTTAAGGCAGGGGTGGGGCTTAGGTTAAGGTGCCTCAGTCTTGTGTCAACTTCTTGACCAAATAAAATATAGCTTTATTAGACCTTTGTCAGTGGCTGAGAACACAGGTTTTGCATGCAGAGGTCTGGGCTCATTCATGTACTTAAAAGCTCTGAGACTCAGACACCTCTGAGTGCAGCTTAACTTCTATGTGTCCTCATCTTCTGCATCACAGGTTGCTGTTAGAATGGAGCAGTGATACTTCAGAACTGTTTGGACCCTGGCATTAAACCAGGCAGCTTATATGATGTCCAAGCGGCTATATTATTCATGGAGCATTTCAAGCTGGTGATATAACAGCTTGACCACCTGGAAAGTTTCCCGGGAGTCCAGCTCTAATCCCAGGCTGGTGTATGTACAGGGATCACCAGTAAGGAGGGGGTCAAAGCCCAGTAATTTCAGCCATCAGAAGTCATGAGAGTTGCCTGGGTCGAGGTGATCACCTTCTAGGCAGTGTCCTGGAGAAAGGATAAGCAGGGACTGACCTCCTCCCTCAACAGGGCAGCAAGGCCGCTGGGCTGACCAGGGGACAAAGCAGGAAACCCCACCCTGTCCCTGGCTTGGCTGAAAGACTGCCAGTCTGTTTACATATTGACGTCAGTCTGGCCTGCTTTCCTCTCTGGCCTCTTTGATTCTCCTGGGAATTCTAGTCTCTGACTTGCTGAGCACGACAGATAAGGACCTTGGTTGTTTCACCAGCTCTTCCTGCTTATGTCCAGACTCACTGTGGGACTTGCTCTCGCTCAGACATGTCCCTGTAGGCCCCTAGCAGAGAAGGCCTCCTCTCATGGGCCTCTCCCCGGCTGTGGGCTGCACACTCCTGCCCTTCTCCTGTCCTTTGCTCCACAAGCTGCTCATGAATCATGATGACTACTGTGTAATAGGGTGTGTCACCCATATCATTACCTGGGCTCTTCCACCAAATTATGGCCTGTGAAGTCAGCCTTTTTTTTTTTTTTAATCTTATTTTCCACTATCTGTGACTTCCTTGGGTTGCATTTGGCCAGTGTTCACTGTGTGGTGTCACCAGGAAAACAGAGGCTAGATTTGAACCCAGGCCTGGCTGTGGGCCCCAAGGTCATCAGAGGGCCATTGCACGAGTGTCCTCACCAGCAAAACATCAGAGGAGTACCTTGCACAGGGCCTGCAGAGAGGGTTATATGACATTTAGGGATCAGTGCTGTGCCTGGCATGCAGTGGGTACTTAATAAATGCTCTTTACATCCTCGTTAGCTGTATAGGACCTCTGGAAATTTTTAGCTAAGATTTTACCTTGGACTGTTGCTGATCAGCCAGTGCGTCAAAGAGAAATCGCGACACACAGGCATGCCGTCCCTGTTTTCTCATCCCTGTGGAGTGCGGTGACTCATAAACGTCCACAAATTACATACAGACTCAATCTGGTGGAGCATTTGGGCAGCCTTCCTTCTGCGCACTTGCTGCATAATCCCCTCGGGTTATATGGACTCTGATGCCAGGGAAACGACCTCAGGGACCCAGACGAACAATTCAAATGGTCTTAAGCAGCTGCCTGCCAATTGAAGTGATTTCAGCTAAATTTTGGATTAGCATTTGCTAAAGTGTTCCATAGAACATCGTAGAGAGATGTAATTAAGAACTCCGGGGAGGGAGAGAGAGACTGTTAAAAGCATTTGGGTCATTCTAGAGAGAGTAGGTTAAGTTGGTTTCTTTACTGTATGCTTTTTCAGACCTTCTCTTCTGTGTAAAAGGCTCAATGGGAAACACCGACAGTGTTTCCGAAGCACAGTTGACTGTAGAAATCCTTTTTTGAGGAACTCTTAATAGCCTATGATTCTTCTGAGAAATAGTTCTAGAAACATTGCTGATTTTTTACAAGCTTATTGAAGCATATTTTGCAAATCATTTAATTTACTCATTTCAATCATACGATTCAGCGCTTTTCAGGAAATTTGCCAAGTTGTGCAATTATCCCCACAAGTCAGTTTTGGAACATTTTTGTCAATGCCAGTAAAATCCTCATGACCCGTGATTGGTAATCCCTGCCCTCACACTCTGCCCTGTAGATTTCCCTTGACAACATTGCCTTTCTTATTGTAATAAAATACACATGACGTACAATTCGCCATTTTAAAATGTACACTTCGGTGGCATTAAGTACATTCACAATGTTGTGCAACCATTCATCTCCAGAATTTTTTCATCTTCCCAAAGTGAAACTATACAATAAACTATAATTCCCCATTCTCTCAGCACCCCCACCCCAGTCCCTAGAGCCATTATTACACTGTTTCTATAACCGTGATGTCTCCAGGTACCTCATGTGAGAGGAAACATACAATATTTTTCCTTTTGTATCTGGCTTGTGTAACTTACCATAATGTTTATGCCTATTGTAGGATATGTCAGATTTTCCTTTTTTAAAGGCTGAATAATATTCTACTTCATGGATATACCACATGTTGCTTATCCATTCATTTAACTGTGTATACTTGGGTTGCTTTCACCTTTCTGTTACTGTGAATAATGCTTTTTTGAACATTGCTGTCAAAATAATTGTTCCATTCTGAGTACACATATAGTAGAATTGCTGGGTTTTATGACAATTATTGAGGAGCCTCCATACTGTTTTCCACGGCAATGCAATTTCACACCAGCAAGGCACTTTCTCCACATCATCCCTAGCCCTTGCCATTTTCTGTTTTGATATTTGTTTTTGCTTTTTAAATAGCCATCCTAATGGGTATGAAATAATATCTTGTTGTGCTTTTGGTTTTATTTCTTAAAGATTAGTGGGGAGCTTTCTTTCAGATGACATCATATACCTTCTTTGGAGAAACATGTATTCAAGTCCTTAGTCCATATTTCAATGAGGTGGGTTTTTTTATTGTTGAGTTTTAGGAATCCTTTATATATTCTGAATGTGGATACATTGTTGGATATATAGTTTTATATATATATGTAATATATGTGTGTGTGTGTGTGTGTGTGTGTGTAATATATAATTTGTGTAGTGGCCAGAGGGTACAGAGCAGGTTCTCTATGACCCTATGCAGACGGGTAAAAGAGAGTCCTGGAGCCCTCCGTGGCTTTTTCAGGCTTTTATTGAGTTTACCAAGTACAGTGCAGGCAGGGATGTGTGCATGCCCACACCCCACTCTAGGTGTCTGCCATCAGGCATGCACGTAGGACTACAGGGATCCATCAACAATCCTAATTGCGGGAAGGCAGAAAAGCCTGACAATCACCCTGCAATCCATCCCCTCAGGGTTTTCTGCCATATAGTCTATATACAAGTTCAATTCTCCTAGGGGCGAAAAAATAAAGAAGTTGTTGGTACCAGCAATGAGCTTTCCCTCCCATCTGGCAAAATACATGCCAATTTTGTGTCCGAGGATAGTATTGTATCCTGGCCTTCCAGGTCTCAAGTACCACACGTGCTTTGCCAGCAAAGGCATCAGAGGGCTCAAAATGCAGCAAAAGTGGTGAGCTCATAATAGGCCACAAAGTGATTACAAATGTCCCCTTCAGGATTGCCTTCTGATCTGCCATACGGTTTATAACAGAATACAACTGCATACAACAAAATACAACTAAGCCCAGGTAGGGCACCAACCTAGTGGCAAAAGACAAGATTATTGGCACCAGTAGATGATCCATCATGTCTGCTGCCGAAGGCACTGCTCATACGAGGGAAGGAAACACTCAGGCATCTGCCATCACATGCCAGGAGCCGTCAGGCTTCCCGGCCTTCTCCGGCTGTGGTCTCGGCCACAAGCTACACACCGCATCCACCCCCAGGATGCACTCACTCTTGGATTGGCGATTCTGTACTCTTTGGGGGTAATCTCCCAACCCTCAGGAGTTTTTGTCTGCAGTCATTCCAACCCTCAGCTTTCATAGCCACCAGTGCGACATGCAGACCCCTGCACTCAGGCCAACCCAATGCACAAGAACATGGGTCGGGGATCCAAACTCCACATGTGGCCTCTCTTGGGTCCCCCCTTCGGCTTGGGCTCCACCCCAAGCCACGTTCCCCACCCGTCCCCCAAGGATGGGTTCCTCAGCTCCTCACCCTCACTCAAGAATGAGCAGGGCATCACCCACA